CACATCACAATTTAAAATGAATCAAAGACCTAAATGTAAGAAGTAAAGCTTCTAGAAGAAAGCACAGAAACAATCTTTGTAATCTTGGCATCATCAGAGATAGTACCATAAAAGGAAAATGACTTATTAGACTTCAGCATAATTATATATTAAAGTCAACATTAAGGAAAAAGTCAGGCCAGGTACAGTGGCTCATGTCTTAATCCTAGCATTGTGGGAAGCTGAGGTGGGAGGACCACTTGACGCCAGGTATTCTAGGCCAGCCTGGGAAACATAGTGAGGCCCTGTCTCTAGAAGAAACAAACAAACAAAAACCCTAAAAAAAATTAGCCAGGTGTGGTAGCCTGTAGTCCCAGGTACTCAGGAGGTTGAAGCAGGAGGATTGCTTGAGCTTAGGAGCTTGAGGTTACAGTGAGTTATAATCATTCCACTGTGTACTTCAGACAGAGTGACACTCTGTGTCTTTTAACAATAAAAATAATTTTTAAAAAAGAACGAAAAAAAAAAAAAGTCGTGGTATGGGAAAGTAATTCCCAATACATATGTCAAAGGACTTCTACCTGAAATATTTTGAAAAATCCTTATAACTAAATTATTAAAAAAAAGTTTTTTTAGGCAAACCAAAAATCTGAACAGATGCTTCACAAAAAAAAAGATAAACAAATGAGCAATGAAACAAGAAAAGGTGCTCAACACTATTAAATCAGGAAAGTCCAATAAAACATCAGATTAAAATGGATAAAATTTTTAAAAACTGGCAATACCAAGTCTTGGTGAAGATGCTAAAGACATATAGTTATAACACACTACTGATGGGAATCTAAATTAGAACCACTGTAGAAACCTGTTTGACAGTTTCTGAGAGAGCTTCCTACCTACAAACAATCCTGCCACTCCAGGTATTTACTGAGACAAATGAAGATAAATGTCAACACAAAGACTCATACAAAAATGTTGAGAAACCTTTATTTATAATGGCTAAAGCTTATAAACAACCAGAATGTTCCCAGCCAGGTGAAAGGATATGAAACAATTGTGAATATGCATATCCATACAATGGAATACTTATCAATAAAAAAGGGATGAGCCATCCATACATGAAGCAACATAAATGGCTCTCAAAATCCTTATGCTGAAAGAAGTCATGCAATATGATACCATTCCTATAACGTTCTATGAAATGCTAACTACTCTAAAATGATTTTTTTAAAAGCCCATCCAAAACATAATATATCAATGGTTATCTGAGGCTGGAAGCAGAAAATGATTTTTGTTGGAAACGTTCTGTATCTTGACTATCATATAGTTTTATAAGCCTATCATATAGTTTTATAAGCCTATCATATAAGTTTCTAAAAACCTATCATGTAGGTTTATATATCTGAAAAGACTCTACAAATTAGAACCCCATATAGGTTTATAAAAACCTATCACATAGGTTTATATCTCTGAAAAGACTCTACAAATTAGAACCCCACATTAGAGTTCAACACACTCTAATGTGGCCATATAGCCTATTTCACTTAATTTCCATACTGCCCTAGGAAGTATATATTAATTACTCACGGGTTTCTTCTAAACTGATAAATGCCTAACCTTGTTTTGAATCTATGCTATGTGCTAAGAAAACAATAAATGCTTCCCACACAACAACGTATATATCTTTTTAACTTATTACTTAACACAGCTCAACTCTTCTATTACTCCAAGTAAGTAAAAAAATCCCATTAACTTCTCACACATGATATTTTCATTCATTTCACTTTTCATTAGGAAAGCGCTTGCAACTACAGTTCTTGGAGTTAGTACATTAGATGTGTTGAACATCCAAGCAGGAGTATTTAAATATAAGTACATTAAATAAATAGTTTCATTTTTCAAACTGCAATTACTATAGAAAATTTTTGAGCTATCAGTTCTTTTTGTTTTGAGGGAGGATCCTGCTCTGTTGCCCAGGTTGGCGTGAAGTACAAAAATCAAAACAGCACACAACTTTTCAATTCATCACAAAATATGTGCACATAACCTAAGACACCTGAGCCATATTAGGCTAGTCTAGACAGGAAGAGTTTCAGTTTCATGAAAATAAAAAATTGTACAACAAAAAAATCTCTGGGAATGCTAACAAACCTTCGGAAGGAGCTTGCCACAAAGAACCATGGGAGCCAGGTGCGGTGGCTCAAGCCTGTAATCCCAGCACTTTGGGAGGCCGAGGCGGGTGGATCACGAGATCGAGACCATCCTGGTCAACATGGTGAAACTCCGTCTCTACTAAAACTACAAAAACATTAGCTGGGCATGGTGGTGCGTGCCTGTAATCCCAGCTGCTCAGGAGGCTGAGGCAGGAGAATTGCCTGAACCCAGGAGACGGAGGTTGCGGTGAGCCGAGATTGCGCCATTGCACTCCAGCCTGGGTAACAAGAGTGAAACTCCGTCTCAAA